ATAGAACTGGCTTCGCATTAAAAATTATTTGGAAAGAAATAGGACATAAATTTAATTAACTGGAAAATTTCCCCTCCCCAACATGATAGATTCCAATATTTTCAAAATATTATAGGTTCATCCCCATTTTCATAATAAAATTTGGTTATAATTTTTGAAGGGAGAGGAGTTAATAAAAAAACCCCTACATTTTCTGTTTTCATAGAGGCTGGACAAAAATTCAGGCTATGGAGATAGTTTGCATATTATGGAATGCAGCAATGAAAATATCAATATTTTGACAAAGTACGAAGTGCACAGGGGATTTCTGACTAGCTCAGCTGAAAGCTTGAGCCAATGATTTTGCATGGTTTCTGAGCAGATATGGACAGTCACAAACTCTGATAAAAAAAATTAGAAAGTGTCACTGACATTGTCAACAGCACAGGCAAAGCAGAAGTACAATTCATGAAGGATTTACAGCTTTGCTGTGGGTTGCATGCAGCCACCCAGCTCCACTGCCTGTACTTACTGCCTATATGACCCATTTGACTCTAAACACCATATTTCTCCCTTGATAATCTCTCTCAATTACTCAGGATGCTACTTCATATTCTTTCAGTTGGCACCTGAATATGGAAGCCACTTTGTTCAGCTTGGCTCAGTTTGATCTACAAAATAGCAGTGTTGGCAATTAAAATATTTTTAAGTAGCTCTCTTTTTTTGCTTCTAACCAAAGATTATAGACAAAGGCTTTGATATTACATCCACAAGTGTCTTTATTACCCTTGGGTGCATCTCATCAGGCCCTGGTGATTTGAATTCATTTAAAGTAGCTAGATGTTGCCACCTCTTTTCCTATCTTGGGCTGCAGCTGCCTCCTTACATAATTTATTCTGTTATCACCAGGTTGGGCTGCTTTTTCTCTGTCACCCAATAGGCAGCAATAACATTTAGGCTGAAGATCTTAAATAATAAGAAATGGGAGTCAAACTATATGAAAGGGAATCTCTATTTTACTAAAAGAACACAGTTTAATCACACACACAGAGAGAGAGACATACAGTGCATTGACCTAGCTGCCCTGTCCTTCAAAAGCATAATTTCCTGTGTGTCAGAAATACCATGAACCTGGAACTCTTATGGCATTCCAGAAATGGAATGGTTGAAGGCAATTCTTTGTATTGTCTACAGTGTTTCACATAAAATAACAGCAATGAGCACAATGGCAGTCAGCATATACCACATGGTATTAAAAATGTTATTAGCTTTAGTTTTTGCTGTGAACATAATGTTTTTGCTTATGGGGGCGGGAAATCGCCTTTATTTTACATTGCAAAACAGGACTATACAGGATCATGTGGTGTTCCCAATGTTCTTAAACTCATGCATCCTTTCTGCTTGGGCTGGCAGACAATCTGGGAAGTGGCAATGATGTGGTGGAGGGGCTAATTTTCTTCATTGCTGTTTTTCTGTGGCCTGAGTCTTCCTTTTCAGTTACTTCCCCCTGCCTTTTCCCTCCCCCCTCAATATATTTGTTCGTTTGATGGTTTAGAAAGCACATACATATTGCAGTTTTGTCAGTTACATCCACCTTTTGAACACCCCACAAGCTAAAAACAGAAATTGTAATAAGCAAAAGTATTCATTCAAAAACAGAAACTCATTCTTGTCAAAATTCCCATCTATAAATATCTCCAGAAAGGACAGGAAAGTTTAGATTGGCTGTGTAGTGTGGGTGCCCTGCTGGAGTGCCAACCTTCAGCGGTACAAAAAGGAGTCTGGTTGCATGGGGATATATAACATCTTGTTGAGTGTTTAATAAAGCCAGCATTTGACACTGCAAGTACCTTGCTCTACCCAACAAGCACTAGTGCCAAGCAAAAGGCCACTGGAATGCTGAAGGAGTTTCAAACCGATTTGATTGGACTAGGTGTAGTGTATTCATTCCATAGCTTTGCCTTTTTCCAATAAGAGAGAAGTAATGTGGACCTGCTTTGCATATATGCAGAATTCTCACATCCATTGAGGAGGAGGGATTTCCACACTGAGAAACTGAAGTATGCAGATACCGGGAAGACTATGAATTCCTTCAGAAGGGTTTAGTGGGCATACTTGAAATGCAGATCCTGGTTTTACCGTCTCTTCTAGCCATTTAGCACCTTAGACAAAATTGTCGTGTTGTTTATCGCAGGAGGCATTATGGGCAGCAATGTTGGTCTAGGAAACTTGACTGTTTTCCAAAAAAGGCAGTGGGGTCATGTTTTAGCTGTTCTTGCTGCTGTCAATCCAAAGAAGTCAAAGGCTTAATGGTTAGTAGATATATGTGGTCCTGTGATTACTGCAGGAGCCATAGAGCCAGCAAATAGATCTCTGTACCTGCCTTCACCTGCGAGCAGGCATATTTAATATCTGATAGTCCAGGAGATTTGATTTGAAACAAAACCCACATCACACACTTAGACATGTCAGAAATTTAGCACCTTGGAAGATTGTATTGATACAATTCCCTTGTCATGTACAAACCCACTTAGCCTTAGAAACCCAGCAGCCATGGAGGTGCAGTGTGGTTTCTGACAGGTCTGGGGTAATTATCTGCTGACATGGATGCTGCGTGTGGTGAATGGCAGAGAGCTCAGACTTTTGACTCAATTGCATCTAGATGTTGTTTTTCACTAGGTAAAGCCCATTTGCTCTTTTCTAAGAAGCTTGGGGCAATTAAATGGGCTGAATTACAGCTAGTACCATTGTTGAAGAAGACTCGGGGGGGAAAGCTGCTCATTTTAAGGCCTGTTGCTTATCCTATGGGCAGCTAGATGCCCTGTTTTTACAAACTTGAAAGGGGACTATTTTGTGGCATTTTGATTGGTTCTAATAAAAGTATTACCTGACAATGGATTTTTGAATGTTTCTTATGGACCAATGCAGCTTCATTTGCTTTTTATGTTCCTCAAGCACCGCCGCCCCCTTTAATTATCTGACTGCTCTAGTGTAGTAGATGTTAACATTTTTAAAACTCCCCCCCCCCCAGGAAATCTCTGCATGATGCTCCTTGGTAAGCCATTCAACGTCCCACTTGGAATTATTGAAATTTGTTTTCTTTGGAAGTTTTTTATGATAAGTCCTAGCACACTGATTTTTTTAAAGTAGCTTTCATGTGGATATGACTAATACATTGCTTCCTGATATGATAATTCCTGAGCTCTTGATGGTGCAAAAGAGGGAATCTTAACAAAAGCCCTCATGTAACTTTACCTATAGATAAAGCGCAATGAAGGATAAATACTGCAAGCTGTGTTGCCTCAACACAGAAGGCATTTTCAGGACTCCCATTACAGAGAACTCTGCTTTTCATCACTCCTGGTTTTGGGGGGTGGGTGGTGAGGATTGGCATCCAGAGGATCAGAAACAAAAGTTTCAAAATTAGCTATTATCAATAACAGAATGGTTCTTGTATGTCTGAATACTTGTCTCCCGAAATTATTTGAAACATCACTACTTTGTGGAAGGCAGGTACTGAGTAATTTATTTGATTTGCAAGTCACTTTTTGTAAATTCTTAATAATGAATGGTTTCCATTGCAACTTGTAGCTTATAAATTGGTGCTTTGTACACTACAGTTTAGGAACAGACTATGTAGAGCTTTTACCTTAATTTGGCATTTGGTTTTTCAGTATTGAATATAAGATTTTCCTACAGGTTACAAAAGTAGCTCCAGAAACTAAGAATGTTTATCAAATTTGGATGGATCCTGAACTGAAGTGGTCCACTTCTGATAGATTCAGGGCTTGTCCAAGCTGAAGCAAACTACAGTGGTACCTCGGGTTACATACGCTTCAGGTTACATACACTTCAGGTTACAGACTCTGCTAACCCAGAAATAGCACCTCAGGTTAAGAACTTTGCTTCAGGATGAGAACAGAAATTGTGTTCCAGCAGCGCGGCAGCAGCAGGAGGCCCCATTAGCTAAAGTGGTGCTTCAGGTTAAGAACAGTTTCAGGTTAAGAACGGACCTCCAGAACGAATTAAGTACTTAACCCGAGGTACCACTGTACTGCAAACAGTGTATCTGCAGAAAATTAAGCATTTCTCCCCAAACTTACAACATAAAGAAAATAAAAGGGTTGGAGGGGAGGGTGAGCTTGTTTGTGACTCACAGGACTAGCTTCTAATTAGAAGGGATGACTTGATCAGGGCTGTTGAGTCACAGTACTTTGAGGTAGGGATGTTAAAGTAAAGTGTTGTTCTTGTTCTTATGTGTTTGATACTCCTTGCTGCATGTGCTCATTGTGGTGGCTTGGAAAATGCAGGACCTTTCAAGCCTTCTGCTTCTGCATTACATGCCCATCCACTTTCAAATCAGTTTTGTGCTTCTTTTTGCTGACTTTTGGTGCCAATTGAGCAGAACATAAACCTGAAGCTGTGAGATTTCTTTTCTTTTCTTTCATTCATCATAATTCCCTGGCCCCTGAACCCACCCTTCTTGAACTTTTCCAGGTTACTTTCCCAGGGGTACCTGTACTGTGTACTCGTCCAATTCACACAAGAGACTGATTTGTTGGACATCCCTATGCCACTACATAATGGACATATAAGAACCACCTTTTATAGGAAACTGACTATTGCACATACTCACATGATTCCAGCTTACGTCACAAAACCACTGTCTACAGCCAAGCCCTGTGATACAGATGCATCTGTTCAGACTCATTGGATAGAGAGTCACAACTTAAGCATTTCCATCAGGCATTCTTCAAACTGCAACAACAGCCCAATGAACAAAGAAAATAGATCCATAAGGCTGGATTGGTAGCACCAACAATCTACAGGGCATGCCTAGAACAGAACATGATAGAACACCACTCACTGCCAGCTGAAACCATTCAAATGTATCATCTACTAACTACAATCCATTCCGTGACTGTCCCCTTTCACAGGCCTTGAGTAGTAGACCTGTACTTGCTTATAGATAGCTCCTTCTAACCTGAAACAGCTACTCACCAGCAACAACAGGCCACATTACAGAAATATGGATGCAGGAAGCAACCCATGTGGGGGGCCCAGATAGCAACTCTATCCCCATGTGTATTCTGGCTGCACTGTTACTGGACCTAATAATGTCTGGAGGTTCTAGCAAGGGAGCACAGCTATCATATACCCTTGACCAAAGAACGGTACTCTCCTCCTATCTGGGATGGTCTTCCTCTTCCTCCAAGTGCACAGCTTCAGGAGGGATGCACATGGAGACATGAAGGAGGAAAGGGACACCCTCCTAGCCAGCCAGATCAGCCGAATCAACCCTGGCGATCAATGGGGTGACAGATATCGCAGCCAGATCGCCCTCACATCCTGGACCTAATAATGTCATCAACAACATGAGGCATTCATTCACCTGCACATTTTCCCATGCAATGTGCAATGTCACAAGTGGCATTTTCCAAACCAAAGCAAAGCAAAAGTTAACATTAAGATGCAGATCTCTGTCCCAAGAAGCTTAAAATCTAAAAATTGACATTAGGGGAAACTGCAAATAAAAGAAGGGAAGGGCCAGGATAACAAGAGATGATGGGATCAGCAGTGTCAGGGGGTTTCTCAGAATGTTTCCTGGTCAGTGTGTGTATGTACATCACACATACACACTCATACTGCCTATGTGCCTCTTGGCAGGAGCTAATCTTCATGTTAGCATCTGCTGGCAGCTCCATGTGAAGCTGACACCTGTCACAGAGCTATCAGTGGCAGCTTCCTAAACAGGCCTCTCCTTAAACCCTTTCAGCTTTATGGCAAATGAAATGAGGCCTCCCTCGCTTATCTCCCAGCTCTGGTGAAGGGGGGAGGGGAATTTGAGGTGTGGGAAGGTGGCCTTATCATATGGAGTGACAAACAGCATTGACTAAACAAGCTACTGGGATGAGGATGAGGGGTGGGGGATTGAGCTGGGGACTAAATAGGGAAATCCCCCCAGCAGCTCTCCCCTCCCCCAAGTCTGAGTCCATGCCAGACCTCCACCTTGCAATCTACAAAATCATTTCCTCTCATATGCTGGGCAGGTTCTTCTTCACCTGCTGGTTCACATTCCAACTTAAGCCGTCCTATATTTCCCTTTCCGTTTCCTCAGCACAGAATAGCCTCTGCTTCTCCTTCTTGTCCCATTGTTCCCCATTCTTCTCTCATATGCTCAATTTTTGGTTGCAGGACACCTTTTCTATCTTGTTCCTGTGTTGATAAACCTTTCCTGCCTATGCTAGTTGGTGTCAGGCCATTAGCACTGTTAATTGCTCACCAGTGGTTTTGTCCTGTTCCCCAAATTACTTACTAGGCCATTTCAAATTAAAGCTAGTTCTCATCACATTCTGCCAAAAACTGAGCTGTAGAATCCTCCCACTCCAGCACCTAGCAAAATGTGACCCAGGCCTAATCGGAATCTTCTTTGTGATCCTGAAATGCTCTAAATGTTTGAGGAGCAACGCTTTGATTTTTCTTGTGTTCAAGATGCTTTTCCTTCTGTGACTCTACAGCACTGTTCTCCATTCAGTTTCTATAAATCCCTCATCCTCTTCAGTGTGCTTTGGTAAGTGCCGTTCCAGCTAAAAGGAGCAGAATATGTAGCTACGATTACTCTTTAAGGGTTACCCCACAAAGTATTGGCGTGTAGCTGAAGGGTAGTTTTCATGCATCATTACATTTCCTAAGGAGATACTGTGCTCCCACAGACAGCCAAGAGGAAAAGCTGGTTTAGGAAATGTGCAAAAGTTTGGAAGGATTTGGTGTGCATGTAGACCAGAGATGCTGGTGAAGATCTCCAAGCTTTTTTACAAAAAAAGATGGCAAGGGTTTCCCATTTCCCATTGAGAATGGCACACATGCACAAGGTGCTTTTTGTGAGCCCAGGTACAGTGAGCTTAAGACGGTTGTGGGTTGGATATGAGAGATGCAATAAAGACAAGGCGATATATTGGGACTGAAACGGCCACAACTTTATTGACTGCAGATTTCAGTAGGTTTTTGGTGTAGGCACTGGGTGTGTACCCTAAAACAACCAGTCTGTCTATTGACAGACCCAGATGCAGTACCCACTTCCCCGGGAGCCAAGCTACTAGGGGTGAAATGAAGGGACACAACAACATTTTGGGATTAAAAATGGCCACAGCTTTATCGACTTCAGGAGTAGGCAAACCTTGGCATAGGCATTGGGCATGTATCCCTCTCAGCCCCCTATTGGGGGTCTGAGGCATGACAGGGTCAGATGGAGGGGAAATGGGGCCATCGCAAAACACAGGTTTACACAGATTGTCCCCTCCCCAGGCGCTGAGGGAAGCTCTGTGGCCCTCCGCCACATGCACATGACTTTATGGATAGAGACTTCCTTCAAGACTGATAGGATACCCTGTTATCACCGCTGCAAGAAGCGGGTGAGTCACCCCTTCATCAGATGTAAGACTAAAGGATTCTGCCCAAGGCCTAAACCGCCAAAGTTGTGACTATTGCTATGGGGAAGGCAAAACCTGGTATGCAGGGAAAATTCCTTCCCGGCTCAGAAAACAGCAGCCATTATAAAACCATAGCAATCCCCACAGACCTGGAAAGGAAAAGTTAGATTGCAAATGTAAAAGCAAGATTAGAGGGTGGGCTGGGTGGGTGGTGTTCTGGGCCGACCACACTGTGGAGCGCAGGGCCGGCCCGCTTAAGAGCAAAGGTAGCGAACCGGACATTTTCTTCAGGATGCCATTTTGGGGAGTTCTGTGGCCAGTTAGTTCCCATCTGAACATTCAGACAGACTGCACATAAATTAAACAGAGGCAGACCCAATTAAAGTCACTCAGGGTAGGCTCCACTCAGGTTCGCCATGTGAGTCCTGTCCCTTCCAGCTCGCCCACAGTAGGTCGACTTGAATTCAACATTGCGAACAAGCCTGTCAACCCACGTAGCCACCAGAGGAATTTCCTCGTATGTTGGCCACACAGGAACAGGCAGCTCCACCACCACCCAGCCTTGCCTGCAGCTGCAATGGGCCACAACAGCCACCTCCACAGAAACAGTAAGCGGGCTTTCTCAGTATAGGAAAAACTTGCCAACCTGCCCTGCTGTGGATTGCTGCCCATGTTGTCTTTCAAGGTGGACTGCTCCTTCACAACTACATTATGGAAGGAAGGAAGGAAGGAAGGGAGGGAGGGAGGGAAAGAAAGAGATTTAGGCAATTCAGTGTTATGTGTAGTTTGGCCCTTGTCTCTCAAAACTGCTCCTATCACTACAGGAAGTAGCCTTTTGAAAGCATCTTAAATAGACACACACTTCTGTTATCCTGTCTTTTTGGGAAAGCTATGAATGGGGTGGGTGAGGGACTGGAATGAGTGTTGGACCAGTGGGTGGATGGGGGATGTCATTCAGTCCTTAATGAGTTCATGCTAAACCAACAATGAAACAAGTGTCATGTATCTTTCTTTTCTTTTTTAAGTTTCCAAATGTCACTTCCAGTTCAGCCGATCTAGGCTTTTAAAAGAATTCCCACCAAATTTTACGTCAGCTATTTTAAGGAATGGTTTAAAATTAAAATCCTTTTACTAAGTTTAGACTTGAGTTTCCCGAGAGACTTGCAATGTTTAAAAAAACTCTTTTGCCATTTCAAAAAGTTCAAAAAAACATTCCAGAAGGGATCTTTAAAAAGACATCCTTATAACAAGCCTGGTCTCTGGGCTTCTGTAAGGCTGTCTTGCATTTAATACCCGACATTTGTTTCTCATTTAGTTGCAAAACAGGCGCTAAAATGTAATTCTCATAATTAAATGTAATTAAGTGACACTACTGAGTAATTTACAGAGTGCAGTGAAGGAATAACTTTCAGTTATGTAACTCAAAGACCATAACTCAGGCTTTTGGACTAGAGACACTCTTTTGTATAGCTTGTTTTTCTAATGATTGCTTCATACATGACATTTTCCTCCTGTATAAAAAGAACCTCTGCATTTAAAAAATGTGTACAATGGAATCTGAAGCTGCGTTTTTTTCAGTCAGTGCTGATGACTCTGACTGGCAGAAGCTTTCCATGGTTCTTACATTGACCTGGGGTACATCGCCAATTATGTTTATTTTGCCCTAAATACATAGATTAATGAGGTACAACAAAAACAGACAACAATAACAACAACAACCCTGATTGCCTCTTTAAAAAACGGACAGGAAGAGGGTGAAAAAGATTATTCCTCCCCCACATGATCACTGCTTCTCTACTTCCTTTGTATGCTCCTGGGGCCTATCTGAACTAAAAATGTAGTAGTATTAGACCAGTTTAAATGTCAAGGCCACCTGGGAATTGTAGTTTGAGGAGCGTGCTGAGAAATCTTTGTTAGAGTTCTTACAGAACTACAGTTTCCAGGGTTCCCTGTGGAGAGGGAATTAATTAAGTGTATTTAAGGTTGAAATACTAAACACACTTGTGGATAAAACAGGACTTAATTGTGAATGAACATGGATAGGATCATCATCCCTTTTAGTGATCCAGAAAAATTTAGCCATTTCAGGGATTGAGAAAATAAGGCACTCTTCTGCCTTCATGACATTTGCGGACACCGCCACTGTGTGTGTGAGTAGCTGAAAGATTAATTGTCTCTAATCACATTTATGTTAATATTGTATTATATTATATTGTATTATATTATTATTATTATATTATTATGTACGTATATCCCATCTTTCTTCCAAGCTGGGATTCAAGGCAACTTGCATTTTAAAAACAAAGTAGTTAAAGGAAACTAGTTAAAAACAATAGTTGAAATTCAATAAAACACATTGAGAACCAGCATTAAAGTACTGATTGCTCTTGACATCAGCGAGTGGTCAGCACTGTCTTCACCTAGTTTCCATGGTGGGACTCTACCTTGATTTAAAGAGAGCAGATCTTCCACGGTTGCACATGTCCTGGTAACATCTAGACTGGATAATGTACTCTGTGTGCATGGAAAATGTCAGCTTGTTCAGAATGCAGCTGCTTGGATGCTTGTTGGGGCTAAGCACTTGTAATACACAACCTCTGTAGTATGCCAGTTGTGATGGCTACGATTTCATCTCCAGGTCCAATTTAAGGTGTTGGTATTGGCATCTATAGCTATAAATAGTTAGTGACCAGACTATTTGAAGGATTGCCTGTAGCCGTATGAACTTGCCTAGTCTTTAAGATCAGCTCCAGAGTCCTGCTTGAGAATCCACCATCAGTGCTCATCATATTGGCAGACACTAGTGACAGGACCTTTTTGGTGGTGGTTCCCTGTCTGTAGGACATCCTCTCAAAGAGTTCACATATGACTGCATTTTAATTAGGTGTTTTACTCCTTCATTTTTATTAGTTTTTAAACA